ACCCCATGCCCAACCCTCCTCCTTTACCCAGGCTTGTGACCGGAGTCCGCCCCGGTGGAGCTACAGGTGGAGTTAGCAATGATTCATGTTATCTATTAATTCGGTTAAATACCAAAAATAGATATGTTTATTGATTAAACGAAGATACTTAGATAAGTTACTATTCAATATTTATCTCTCTCTCTCTCACACACACACACACTCTCTCTGATATTAGTTCCGGATATGTACTATCATCAGTGTTATACTACTTATTCTCATCATTACAATTCACGTGAACATATGTTCTACCTTATGTTATTGGTGTTTATTATAATCTCCATTTAGTACCCATCGGAAATGAAATGATTAAAATTTTAAATGGGTATATATATATACAACAGATGGGATTGTATATTTAATACATAAACAATTATTGTAAACAATTTAGGACAATCCCTTCCCCCCCCTCTTTTTAAAAAAAAAACAAACAACATACATACATACATACATACATACGGTCTTATCATTCAACCAAACAACTAGAAATAAATCAGAAGGGGTTTTGTGAAGATTCCAGTATTTCCATAGTTGAAATCATGAGACCATTAAAGCTAGCTTCCAGGATTTCCATGGTAGTCTAGCTTCAATTGACTTAGTATTTCAATTATGGCAACTAGAAATAAGTTAATTATTGGGATAATTGTGAAAGGTTAATGTATTCTTAACAAATTGTTGCCTATTATTGTAAACAATTTAAAAATACCAGGAAAATCCCTTTCCCCCTTTTTTTATAAAAACAAAAAAACAAACGGTCTAATCATTCAACTGATTTCATTACCAAACAACTAGTGCAAGATCATGGATGCGCACTGCTGAGGAGTCGCCTAAATAAGATGAAACGGCCGTCCAGTTCTTCCAGGTTTTCAATGGTGATCTAGCTTCAATTGACTCATGATTTCAACTCTATAAAATTATTAAAATCTTCACCCAATCCCTTTCTGATAACTAGAAATAAGTTTAATTATTAGGATAATTGTGAAAGGTTAATGTATCCATGACAAATTGTTGCCTATTATATAGAAATTGGAAAACATTTTTGACCCAGACTTAATTAATCTTATTAGTTTATATATATAATTATTAGATAGGTCATAGATACAATGAAATAATATAACCGGAAATGTTGATTTTGTGAATAATCAATGATAATTGCTTGTGGTATACTTTATGAGTCAGATCTTATAGATTAGCATAACTTGCTATACATTATCATGTTGTATTGTTATTAACTAAATAGGTTCAGAAGAGATTTTCTTCTGGAGATTTTAGTCATTTTATGGTTGAAAGTATGAATCTATTGAAGCTAGATCATCATGGAAAACCTGGAAACACTGGAGGGCCAACTCGTCCTATTGTGGAACTTCTCATAAGTTCTCATCTACGATCCCGCTCCGCAAGATTCGAATCCATGACTTAGCGGTTTCGCACGCGAGCGCTTAACCTTAAGACCACTGAGCCGTCACCCGACAGTGTTGATGTCTAACTATAGACAACTTACGAAATTGAGCAATCGTCCAATATTGTCTCCAGTGAGTCATTATCTCACAACAGACTTGGTTGAACTTCAATGGTTACTGCTTCTCACTAGAACTGCAGGAAATACCTCTTGATGCCAGTCACTACTGAGCATATGATTACTATTAGAAGGGGTTTTATGTGGAGATTTTAGTAATTTTAAAGTTGAAATCATGAGTCATTTGAAGTTAGACCACCATGAAATGGCCGTCCAGTGCTTCTAGGTTTTTCATGGTGGTCTAGCTTCAATTGACTGATGATTTCAACTATAAATGGGTTCAGTTAAACACAGTTGATGATAGCATGTTCTGAAAATTTTCGTAGGTTCTCATGTCAAGCTGTGACTAATAGATTTTAATCATATAAGGTGTACGTCATCTAACATCGGTGTGAGTGAAAGTTAAATTTGCAATATTGTTAACTAGAAATTGAACTACTGGATACAAAATTAGAGACTTGAAGGTTAAGAGCTCACTAAGAAAAAGATAAAGATCCTGGGCTCACTCTTGGCAGGATCACTGTGGTGAACTTCTAATAAGTCTCATCCAAAATAGCAATCATTTGATGCTATCTAGTTCTCAGTATTTAGCCTTTTAATGTTTAGCTGATGTGCATACAAGTAAGAAAACGTCTGCTAATAATTGGTTGGATGTACACAATAGAAAGACCTAATTGACCTAGGTTTTAATCTGTGTGCCACTCATTAGCAAGGAGTATCTGTAACCTGTAGAACCTGATGCACTCTAATGAATTTGAGCGTGTTCACTCGGAATTTAGTTGTATTATGATGCCGTTATTAATGTTTGTCAAATTTTATTGTGTTCAGAACACAAGAGGGTTATCAGATCCCTCACGATAATAAGCTGAGTTTATTGTGATATCAAATCATTAATTCTAGTAGGTAAATCGCAAATTGGTTAGTTAATTTCCATCAGCACCAAAGAAATGATAATGTGACAGTAATCACCACTCTCTGACTAATTACTTACTTACTTACTAAGGCCTGTGACTCTTAATGGAGCATAGGCCGCCGATCAACATTCTCCAACCCACTCTGTCTAAGGCATTCCTTTCTAGTTCTATCCAGTTCTTGTTCATTCTCCTCATGTCTGTCTTCATTTCTCTTAGTAATGTGCTCTTTGATCTTCATCTTCTTCTTTGGCCTTCAGGATTCCATGTAAGGGCTTGTCTTGTGACGCAGTTGGTTGCTTTCCTCAATGTGTGTCCTATCCACTTACAACAGAGTTCCCCTGACAAATTAAAGTAGATAATTATCTGAAAACATTTGCATAACTCTTGAACAAACCTATTTAGCTTGCATTCTAAAACAAACAACTCGTGATAAAATTTTTTTAACATTCACCCTGTTACATCTCGTGGTGATTTATGAATGGTACCTTTTGAGAACTATTTATGGACCAATATGATATGTATATTTCCTATTGTATGATTGCTAAGTAACTAAACTATGAATATTCGTGTTCCTCTTATTATAAGCTTTATTTTGACCCATAGACTATTATTATACGATTTACCATTATTGAATTATCCCTAGTCCATTAATTGCTGTTCCCCCTATTCACAGCCACATTTGACCAAATCTTGTACAAATGTTATTTTCTATTTTGTGGTACGATGTGGTCAGTTTGTTCGGTACATAAATCCAGGATGTTTGAGAATAATGATTCATATTGCAGAGGCTATTATTGGTGTCTTGGACTTAACTTGGTGGGTTAGGCAGAAAGCAGGACTGATAAGTGCTCAAGACCGCTCATACGGCTTTTGTGTGTCATTGGATCTGATTGATAAATCGCTGCCCTCTGATAGGCGGTCACATCACTTTATAAATCAAACAGGTCACATACGCATGCAATTGATATAACACACCCAGTTAATATTTAGCTATTAGTTACGATTCATAAACCATCCCTTACTTATTCCATTGTAAGTAGCTAATTGGTACAACTTCTTACGCTTCATTTCCTGGTCTTGTTATGGGAATCCATGAGAATGATAAATAATTAGAGTTTCCTGTTTTTAATTAAATTAAATTTTCTAAACACTTGATTGATTATAAATGTTAATTATTGGGCGCCAGAATGTAATGAGTATTTTCAATGAAGTATCTAATATAGTGTGAGGAAAATGTTTGATGAAGGTTATAATGAACTAGTAATTATTGATTATTGATTGGAAAATGAAGGTCATATCCACAAGGTCATTCATTATGTATTTGAATTAAATCTTATTCATAAAATAAAACTGACATTCAAAACTAGTAAAGGAATGTCGAATGTTTATATTATGTTAGTTTGTGATTACATAACCATCAATAAACTGATAACTTAATGTCTAGTGATACATACTATCTATTAGTCAGTCAGTCCCAACGTAGAACTTCGTACGTACGTACATCAGTTCGAGTTGACATACCACATTAGCACAGAGATGCAATTGTTGATTTAAATCCCATAGTGGTAGAAGTAGTAAGAGTATAAGCATTATAATGAAAGATTAGGGTTTGAAGATGTTATTGATGGTGTATCATTCAGTGAAATAAATTTGAAAAAAGAAAAAAGAAATGGACATGAAGAACTCAGAAGATTAGAATTTGGGAGAACACAAAGAGTGGATGCATCTTCGCCATTGCAAACGATTTTGAGCCGTGTCATTCAAGGTCTCTAGACATCGATTTTTATCATTTCGCGGATCTCAACCATGTGTTTATCAACAGTTGTCTACGCAAGATACTTCGGATACAATGGCCAGACACTATCAGCAACATTCTACTGTGGGAGACAACAAACGAGATTCCAATGGAGGAAGAGATCAGAAAGAAGCGACGGAAGTGCATAGGGCACACTTTGAGGAAATCACCCAATTGCCTCACAAGGCAAGTCCTCACATGGAATCCTGAAGGTCAAAGGAGAAGACGAAGACCAAAGAACAAATTACGCTGAGAAATGCAGACAGACATGAGAAGAATGAACAAGAACTGGATAAAACTAGAAAGGAAGGCCCAGGACAGAGTGGGTTAGAGAATGCTGGTCGGCGGCCTATGTTCCATTGGGAGTAACAGGCGTAAGTAAATCAGTGTATCTAAATGAAGAATATAATGTTTTTTTTTAAAAAAAATGTAGTTAAAGCAAATTCAACAACTAGGTACATCATAGTTTTAAGTCACTGACTGATTTTAGATTGTTCACTACTGAAAACAAAGAAAAAAAAGCATAATACAACTATTTAGTCCTCATATATGGGAAGTCTTAACAGTGCATATCGATGATTTCAATGAACATTAAACGTAAGACTTCTCGTTTTTCAATCAATGAATTGAAATCTAATTTTTAACTTTAATCAATCCATCATATTGTGTACAACTATCGTAGTTGATATTCTTATTCATTATTCCTATTTATTATTATTATTATTATTCTATTTAGGTCATTTAGGTATTGCTGGAAGACAATGTAATGCTACATCAAAAGATGCTATTAATTCATGTTCACGTTTATGTTGTGATCGTGGTTATGATACATTAGAATTGGAACGTGAACAAAAATGTGAATGTAAATTTTTTTGGTAAGTAAATTATTAAAAAACACTTTGGTATTTTCCAACGTATTTTGTATCTATGGCTGTTTTATTTTGTCTTTTTTTTTTCGTTTTTGATCGAATTTTACGAAACGAAATGTGACATCCTCAATTATTATTATTATTAGGGGATTTTCAGTGGAGATTTTTAGTCAAACCTGAAAGCACTGAACGGTCGTTTCATCCTATTGTGGGACTCCTCAGCAGTGGTCTATCGGTCAAGTGCACTGGCGCGAGACTGGTAGGTCCTGGGTTAGAATCTCGCGGGTGCGGAATCGTGGATGCGCACTGCTGAGGAGTCTCACAATAGGATGAAACGGCCGTCCAGTGCTTCCAGGCTTTCCATGGTTGCCTAGCTTTAATTGACTCATCAGTTCAACTATATATTATTATTAGCTTTATTCAATATTTTATTTTTGGTACAATATAGAATTCTCAACACAATGTACTTCAAATGGTTTCCGTTTCTTACTTCTTCGTCGATCTTGATGATAAATATTGAGTGATCGCCTGTTAAAAGTTAGCAGTCCAGTCAATCTACATGTAAATAATGTAAATTCTTTTCGGTGCATATTCCCAGCAACCACGATATCTCTGATTAAGCCTTTTGTAACTTATACAACGAAAGGTTGCACACTTCAGAAACGCACCTGAATAGGTTAGTCGAATAAAAGCCATAATGATGTATTAAAACAAACAAAATTAGTTAACTTGTTGAAATATATAGATGACAGGAACAGGTAGCCCAGATGCTTGAGTGGGCTGACAGTTAACTTAGAACTATGTTAATCTACTTATCAAATTTCAGTAAAAAAATGAATTCATTTATGAATCCAATATGCATTTTATGGTTTGATGTGGTATGTTTGGTTGGTAAATAAACCAAGTATGTCTGAAATATATGATTCGTATAGTGGGATCTTTTATTCATGTTCTGTACTCAACTGGAAGGGCTAAGAAGAAACAGAAGCAATAAGGACGCTAGGCTATTCATACCGGTTGATACGTCATTGGTTTCGCACGGTGCTAAGATTATATAAGTCGTATTCCGATTGGCAATTAAGTCATGTGATAATTAGCTGGACTAAAAGTTACAACACAACCTACACTTCCAACATCTTGTGTTCTAGTAATCCTTACTTAATAATTCAGTGCTTATGAAAACACATTACGAATCAATTTGAAAGTAGTATCTTAAAACCAGACATTTGATAGCAATCCTTATTATGGATTAATATCAACTGGAATAATATTGAATTTAAGCGATCTCCAAGACAATCTCATTAAAATGATCATGTGATCGCTGTAACTCAGCTTTCAGATTGATTCTCAAAGCTCTAGTTAGGTAAGATGACGGTTGAGGTTCTGTCAAGTAGTATATGAAGTAGTTCCTAAGAGATGACAATGAATGCTTTTTCTACTGTATCGCAGCATGACTAAGAGTGAAAATATAAATCATATGATTCCACCTTAATGACCTAAAGGAACTTAATTATCACGAGATCTGAATGTCATGGATTTGATCCTATGCTTAGTCCAGAGTTTTAATTAATAAGGGTTCTCTTTTTATTCGTACTAGATGTTCAAGGCATCTCAATTATCCAGTTCATATGAGTCTTTATAATAAGCATACATCCTTATATAATTGCACATCACAAACATCCTTAAATCAACAATAAAACTGTATCCGAAAGATAATTTAGAAGAAACACTATGACTAGTTTAATGATAATGTAGTGAACAAGTACACAAATAAGGATAATCGAATGTATTTGAATACAAAATTACAGAATATTTTAATAAAATCTGAGAACCATACAGTAAATACTTCATTTGTAAAATATCAATCAATCGTCTCAGACTTCATTACTCTTTCGTTCATTGTTCTTATTCTCTTATCATCAATCTTCTCAACATTCTGCTTTCAGATATTTCATTTTCAATTGATGATACATACTATTTATAACTGTCGACATCAGTAGTATACACCACAATACAGCCACAAAAAATATTATTAAAAAAAAACAACAACAACACTGAAGTCCAACTGTTTAATTCAGACGTAATTTTTATATGTAAAATAATGTAAATATTCAAATATGCATGAATCTAGACAAAAACTACACACACATCAAACAACCATTTAAGGAATCATTAGTTGTTGTTGTGTGTGTGTGTGTGTGCGTTTTGTTTTAAAGTTTTGATGTAAGACAACGTTTTTCTGGACAACTTTGTTTATCCTAGAAACATGATTTTTTTTTCTTATCATTAGACCATAGAAACTAACAACTAGGGAACTTACTAAAAGTTTATTTCAAAATGTTTGATTGTACTTATTATTCTTATTACTATTGTGACTTTAAACCCGGTTAGTTATTATGTGATTTATTCAACAATCAGAATATGACTTATATAATCTTAGCATTGTGTCATACCAATGATGTTCGACCAATATGAACAACTTAACATCCTTATTGGTCTTTTGTTCACCTAACCCATCCCGTTTGAGTTCAGAACATTAATAACACCTTTCATTATACGAATCATTTATTTCAAACAAATTTGATTTATATACAAGTCAAACAAACCATATCAAACCATAAAATAGGAAAATAACATTTGTATAAGATCAAATCAAAAAGTGGTTGTATTGTGGGAGATTGTAATTGATAAACTGAATATAATGTGGTTTTCTGTAGAGATTTTAAGTAATTTTTATATATAGTTGAAGTCGTTAGTCAATTGAAGCTAGACCACCATGGAAAACCTGGATACACTAGATGGCCGTTTCTTCATATTGTGGGACTTCTCAACAATGCGTATCCACGATGTCACCTCGCGAGATTCGAACTCAGGACCTAACAGTCTCATGCGCGAGCACCTGACCGATAGACCACTTAGCCGGCATCCAACGGTGTTAATGTCTAACTACAAGCAATCCACGCAGTTGAGCAACCATTTCACCAAAGTCTTCAGGGAGTTGATATCTCTCAAGAGACCTGGTTGAGACTGGTAGGTCCTGTATAACATGAATTGACTCGGTGTTATCGTAATGATCTAGATATAAACCTTTGGTGTGTGCTACTGATGTCGATAGTTATAATTAGTATGTATCATTAATAGAAAATGAAGTACTTAGACAAAGAAAGTTGGGAAGATAGAAAAAAAGAGTAAGAGAACATGTAATTATAGCTGTGGAAATGAAAGAACAATGAAGTCTGAGACGATTGATTAACATTTAGCAAATGAAGTATTTACTGTATGGTTCTCAGATTTTACTAAGACGTTCTGTAATTTAGTGTCTAACTACATTTGATTGTTCCCACTTATATACTCGTTCACTACAAAAATAATGTTCCAGCTACTAAAAGGTTCTGAGCTGACAGGAAATGTTTTTCAAATGGTTTTCATTTAATTTTCAATCACCTTTTTAACTCATGTTAATTAATAATGAACATGGTTACATTTGTAAGCTGAATTAATTACTAGTAAAATTACCATTCATCATGAAAACAAATATATATAGATTCAAGTTTCAATGGAGTAAACATTTAGTCGGTGAGGTAGGTATGTTTTGGTAATTGAGTATCAAAGATACCAAATGAAGTTTAGATAATAAGCAAAGATGGATAGTGGCTAGCAGTGGAATATAGGACGCGCGTAACGTCCTATTTGGGGGCTCTTCAGGTGGATGTACCTGCATCTCACAGTTGATGTTCACTCTGGGACTGCAACGCAGTACCTCTTGACTGAGTGGATAACGTGATGGCGTTTGAAACGAACGGTACTGTGTTCGAGTCCCAGAGTGAACATCAACTCAGATACAGGTACATCTAGCTGACGGGTCTCATATAGGACGAGGTGCGCTTCCTGAATTCCACAGCCAGTCACTATCCATCTTCGCTTACAATGACTGTCAATTAAGGCTTTACCGAGGCAACACGCACAGTATGCACATATGCCAATAAAAGACTGGTCAATTGCAGTCCTGAACGTCAATGTGAAGATTCAGCCAAACAATACTAAATGATTTTGTTGTTTAGATTGGTTTTATCCTAATAAAGTAACAAGTAGTTAAAGATATGCTTTTCTTTACACCCTTAGCGTTTTTTAATGCGTTTAACAGTAATAAGAGATTTCTTCTGTTTTGGTCACTCAGTTTACAGATTTTAGAAAGTCAATGCAACCTTATTTTCAGGCAGTTCTATTAAGATTGAATACAATATATTATAAACAACGAAATATAAGGGTTCATTATTATTTCAGAATTATTCTTGTTGCAATGGAGATCATGGATGGATCAGAGTTAGATCAAGATTGAAAACCTGGAAGCACTAAACGACCGCTTCGTCCTCGTTTTGGGCTTCTCAGAAGTGAGCATCCATGATCCGTCTTGCATGCGAATGCATAAACTCTTGACCATTGAACCCGAATGTAACAGTGAAAATGTCTAACTTCGACCAATCCACGACATTGCCCGACCATCCATTATTGTCTTCAATGATTAACTACCTCACAGCAGACACGGTTGAACTCCATTGATCACGGCTTCTTGCTAGAACTCCAAGAAATCCATTTTGAAGCTAGTCATTTGTGAGAATATGATAATTATCAGTATAGAGTTGTGGAAATTGTTTAGTTTTAATTGATATCGTGAATGGATCAATGTTACACCACCATTGAGAACCTGGAAGAACTCATTCTAGCATGGGACCCCTCACGATTTATTATCTACTCAAGGTTTTTATATCTTTATCTATTGTTCTGTTTTCTTGCTTTAGGTGCTGTGAAGTTCGATGTAATATATGCCGTGACAAAACAACTCTACATCATTGTAAACACTAAAAGAAGAACAAGAATAAGAATATGAAGAAGACGACGACGAAGAAGAACAAGGCAAATGGAATTTATTCATATTTGAAGATCTAATAATCTCAAATTACACAATTATTCATTCATTAATTATCTTCATCTATATCTAAATTGAATATGTTTATAGAATGTTTATAGTTATGATCTTATCCATGGTGATTATAATCATAAATTTGAGAAAGAGTAAAGTATCCAAGTGATTGTAAACATGACTTTTTTTTTCTCTTTTTTTTTGTTTCCTTTATTTTTTCTTCCATAATTACCATAACATTAATGAATAGGGATACTTTTGATTAGTTGTTTTGTTGTCATATCAAAATGAGTATACCATTGATATGATTGAAGAATTTGAATAGTATTCAAAGTTCCATTGTTGTCTTCTTTAATAAGGGTACATTCTTTTGATAGTAATTTAATTTCGATAATGCAATCAGGAGACGAAGGTTAGCAGATTTATGTGATGATATATTACATCATATATATTACATTTCGAAAAATCTGATGACACATTTAGTTGCTAAGACATTTATATATAAAAACTAAAAGGTCAGTTAGACAGGTTAAAGATAAGCCATAACAAAAAAATATAAAGTAGGGGTTTTGTGGAGATTTAGTATTTACTATAGTTGAAAGCGTGAGTCCATTGAAGCTAGACCACCATGGAAAACCTGGAAACACTGGACGGCCGTTTCGTCCTATCATGGGACTCCTCAGCAGTGCGCATCCACGAACCCACTCTCGCGGGCGAGATTCGAACACAGGACCTAGAAGTATATCGAGAAGTATATCTAGGAGCTCTAGTGAGAAGCAGTTGTAGCGAACAAAACACTGGTTGGGGACAATCGAATGTATTTAAGCAAACATTACAGACTATCTCGGTAAATTCTGATAACCAAACAATGAACAGTCAATTTGCAAATTAATAACCAATTGTTTCAATCTTCACTGTTTCTTCTCTAATTCCATTGCTCATGCATTTTCCAAACGATTGCGCTTCATTTCAGTTCTTTCCTCATCGGTCTTCTGCCAAAATACATTCTATGTCTGACCCACGCCATATACTACTTATATGGATATAAGTAGACAACACCACACAGTGACCAGTGGAGTTCAAAACCACGTCTGTTGTGAGATAGGAACTCACTGAAAACAATTGGTGAATGGTTGCTCAATTTCGTGGATCAGTTGAAGTTAGACATTAACACTGTTGGATGCCAGCTCAGTGGTCTATCGGTTAAGGGCTTCGGCTCGAGACTGGTAGGTCCTGTGTTCGAATCTCGCTCGCGAGAGTGGGTTCGTGGATGCGCACTGCTGAGGAGTCCCATGATAGGACGAAACGGCCGTCCAGTGTTTCCAGGTTTTCCATGGTGGTCTAGCTTCAATGGACTCACGCTTTCAACTATAGTAAATACTAAATCTCCACAAAAACAATATGATAACCAAATTCACTTACTATTGTTTGGTTGAATATTCCCATTGATGTTTTGGATTGCAATTGATCAATCTCTTATTGGCTATATGTGCATACTATGTGTATTGCATCATATACATCAACAAATGCAGGTCATGACGCACAATTTAACAATAGTCTCTGTATCAGTAGACTTCAACATACACAAGGGAAAAAGCACAATCCTCAAATGCAACACAGAGAACACTATTCCAACCATATCTGATGGAGAAACTCTAGAAGAGGTGGAATATTCCATGTGTCTGAGTAGCATCATCGATGAACAAGGGGGATCTGATACAGACGTAAAGGCGAGAATTGGTAAAGACAACATTCCTACAGTTGAACAACATATACAACTCAAAACTAACATCAACAAATTTCAAAGTTACAATCTTCAATACGAACGTCGAAACACTTCTACTGTATGTACATCAATGTTGGCTTCTTGTTCAAAATATCACTATCGGAAAACCATATTAGAGAACAATATATATCAAAATGACTCATTACAAGTAACTTCTTCATAATGAATAATCAGACAAGTATTATAAGCAAAGATGAATAGTGGCTAGCAGTGGTATCCATCTTTGCTTATAATACTTGTGAATTAAGGCTATATCGAGGCAATACACACAGTATGCACATATGGCCAATAAGAAACTGATCAATTGCAGTCATAAACATCAATGGGAAGATTCCAACAAGTAATACTTAGTGAATTTAAACTTCACCCCATTGCAAAAGCAAGTGGCTATCAGGACTCAGTAGCTAAGTGGATAATGCGATGGCGTTTGAAGAGAACGGTACTGGGTTGGAGTCCCAGAATGAACATCAACTCTGAGATACAGGTACATCCAGGTGACGACTCCCAAATAGGACGAAACGCGCGTCCTGGATTCCATCGCGAGCCATTATCCATCTTTGCTTATAATGTGATAACCACTCTTGATAATAAATCAGTATTACCAGGGTAGGTTAAGTGTAAGAACAATTTGTTTTTGAACACATAAAGTAGCGTTTCAATGTTTGTATAACCAAGGCTTCAATAAACCTTAGTATACGTCCTTGAAAGCTCTAGTACAACACTACAAATGTTTACTTGATATCAACCTTATGACCAGTTTTAGCTAAATATTTTGCAATGAAGGAAGATGAAAATCTATCCTGTGATCTTATTTGACCATTAAAATTTATTTATTTCTGAAGCCATTTGGGTATGTGTTCCGCCATCCTTAATTGCAGGTCACGATTTTAATAGATTCCTTATCATTGAAAATTCACTTCTAAGCAATTTTCTTGTGTATAAATAATAAACATGTTCTTTTTCATAGTGCATGAAATTTAGATAAACTAATTATTTGCTAGATCACCATTGAAAACCTGGAAGCAATAGATAGTCATTTCTTCATAATATGGGATTCCTCATCAAGACGAAACGGTTATCCAGCGATTCCACATTTTTAATGGCAGTCCAGTTTAGATGGACTCGTGAATTCAACTGTGGAAATGATACAATCTCCACAAATCCCCATACGTGTTTTAATATATCATAGGTAAAAGTTATAATTATCCAGCAATATTCCTAGGAATTTAATTGAACTGATTCTTTAAACTAAAGAGATCATTTACCCGTACTAAAATTTCGGAAGGTGTAATTTAGCACATAGCTAATGAAAAAATTACTTAAATTTAGAAGAAGAATAAACTTATCAGTAAGCTGACTGTTCATAAATGACTCAAAAGTAGCAAACAGTTAAATTTGAAACCAAAAGTAATAGCGGGCGAAGAGACTATAAACTATTTGAATTATAGTGTGACCGATGGTAGTAGATCCATCTGGTTGGGGTCTGCGTGAAACCATGATCAGTGATTAGGGACGCTGAATATACATACACTTGCACTCAGTCCTTTCAAACCAGATTCTCGATTTTTAGTTTTTTCCCCTTACTATTGCTACCACATCAATTTGATTCCGTTAATATTCATCTTTTTAAGCTCATCTTGTTATACTAATGTGGTATGTCAACTTGGGTCGACACACTCAGATCCTAGGCTATACGTTCATTTCACTGCATTTCGGGATAAAAAAAATACAACTATCAAATATTCTCTGGTCTGTTTAATGGCCGAGCCTGCTATCAACAGTTCAATCTTAAGAAATAAACTAGTTTCCTATTATTGTTATAACTTCACAGCTTTAATAAGATCAAAAGCGTATCAAGAAATTGTGTAGATTCATGCAACAAATCTATAGTCAAGTTTCTGGATTTTTGTACGAGTTAACTCAAACCGTTTGATCTCTTTGTTATGGGTATAATCAATGAAATTTAGTTAAATTAATGTCTCATCCCGGATAATAATCATTGAAATTCATTCTCACTTGAATAAGTGGTCATAAGGTTACTTGGGAAATGTATATGGTTTTCAGTATGGGGCTGTGGACATTATTATGATTTTGATTGAGATCATGAAAAGAGTAGTGTTAAACCACCACTGAAAACCTGGAGGCACTCGATGGCTGTTTCATCCTAGTGTTGGGCTTCTCAGTAGTCCGCATCCATAATCCCGCACATGGGATTCGAACCCATGACCTTTGGCCTCGCGCGCGAGCACTTAAACTCTAGACTACTGAGCTGGAATCCAACGGTGACAATACCTAACTTCAACCAATCCACGATATGACGCAACCCCCTTTCATTGTCTTCGGTGGGTAACTGTTGGGTATGAGGCAGTGATCTAGAGGTTATGCGTTCGCACACGAGATCAAAGGTCATCAGTTTTAGTCCGCCGAGCGGGTTCGTGGTTGTAGACTGCTGAGAAGTTCCATACTAGGTTGGAACAGTTATCCAGTGCTTTTAGATTTTCCATGGTGGTCTAGTTTTAATTGACTCATGGCTAGCAGTGGAATCCAGTTTGTCGCGCATTCCCATTCGTCAGCTAGATGTACCTGCATCTCAGAGTTGATGTTCACCCTGAAACTTGAACCTACTGTCTTTCGCTTCTAACGCCATTCGCATTGTCCACTCAGCTACTGAGTCATGATAGCCACTTGTCTGTTCAACGGGGTGAAGTTTGAATTCATTCATTCATTGTTTAACCTGTTTTTCTTGTTGTCAATGTGTATTCATTCTAAACTTTACAGTTTATCTTTTGACAGAAATAGTTTTTTTCTTGTTTGTTTTACATTCCTATCTGGATTTTTTTGTTTTCCTGAGAATAAACAGCAGCAGTTTTTGACAATTTTTCCATTTTTTGACATTCGTCACTGTATAGTATTTCTCGACTACCATAGTGAAGGTAACTTTTTGAATGAGAAGTCGATGAACAGTGTGAGAATAATAATGACAAACAAAAGTGGTTGTTCACCTTTTTTTTTTTAAATTTTTTTTTTAAAAGAACAATGACCAATGTTCAGTCAAATAAGTTAAGTTTGTTATCCTGTAACTTATGATTCATTTATCCTTCCGGAGGTTTAGATTTTTATGAATGTTCTCAATAAGTATAATTGTCATTAGTGAGCATGGTTGTATTCGTTGGAAACGAATCATTATTTATTATCTCTATAGTATGTAAATGAATAAGATACATAGAACAAAGTAAACGGTAACGTAAGCATTGATATAGTTTATATAGCTTATAGAGACCTACATTTGATTATTGTTGTAAAGTATGTTTGACAGTTTGATATTCATACTTACTTAGAGAATAGCTTGAGTGTCAAATGTTTAATGATTAATGCTAAATGTTTATGATGTGGGAGGGGGCATAATTTGACTCCATATGAGAAGGCTAAGTGTTTGTATCATGTCGGGTTGACCGTTTTTGTTAAGAAATGGTCCATGTTCTAAATGCAGCTCACCATTTTTATGGTGAGTTAGCATCTGACTTCAATTAGATCTTATGAATGGTTGATTGTAAAAAAAAAACATATACATCTTGTCTATCCTCGTATGTGATGAAATGACTTAATCCGCGTTGATGAATAACGGAGTTACAACGGATTTAGAATACATATATTTTGTACACTCATTGAGCT